TTTAGATTTTAGATGCCATCAGGTGTAAGTTTCTCAAATTGTTGTTGTTTGAGAAGAGCCAGAGTATGTGCCAGTTTTTAAATATTTCTATGTTCAAAGTAATTTAATGCAACAGAGCAGGAGGTTTTCAGTTTTGACTGATACTTTGTGCTGAACATTCATCATGCTGAATGTTTTTGATTATTATTTTTTTAAAGATACCAGAGAAAAAGAATCCTAGATAGTAATGCAAAAACTTGCCACCTTATGAAATGGTAGGTCAGACTGCACTGCCAGAGAGACTAACCAGCCAACACCACAGGACTCAGCTCTTAACCTAGCTATTGCCAGTTTACTGCCTCTTTTGCTTAACTTGGAAATCCAGTGGGTAACCTGGGTGCTTTTGTTTTGTGAAACCAGATCCTAATTTTTTAATTTAATTGCAAAAAATGCAAGTTTGATATGCACCCACCTATACTTCAATACTATCTAAAATGCACTGTTCAAAGTTAAGGCAGCAATGCTGTGCTTAACAGCATGGAGAAGAGCAGCAAGTGGTTTCAGTGTAATTTACAGTGTTGGGACATTTCCATTTTAAGTTTCTATTCATTAACATCTATGTTATATAAGAAACCACACACAGACAAAAGTGAACATGAAGCTGTGCAGCTATGAGGCAACTTCTACCAGAACTTAGCAAACAGGGACCGATTGTTGTCCAAAGACATGAGGAAACCACAAATGTTAATAATGTATTCCTTATTCTACTCTGATGTCAATAATGCCACTTCTTATGCATTGAAAACTCATGTTTCCCAGCTTTCCAGCCTTCCTGTGGTTTTCCCCTAGGCTGTCTACAGTGGTACAGGGTCATACAATCTATTAGGTCCTTCTTCCCATTCATTTCTAAGGGATAGGTTTTCTGCTTCAGCTGCAGATTAGACAATAGTTTAGACATCCCTTCTGTTGTGCCATCTAATGGGACAGAACCTATGGAAAATCTGCAGTAGTTCACCTGGGGACGTGAAAATACTAGAAGTAATTCTTAGCTTACAATCATAAATTATAATCAAGGAAGACAAAGTTTAGGAAATGGGTTTTTACTCACTGGTTTGCTTCGGTGTGCAGCAAATTCCTCAGAGTGGAGCTTTGAAGTATTTAATACTGTACTAATTACAGTCAGGTTCACTGCAGTCCCAGGAACACAGTCAAAAGGGAGGTCACTCAGTGAGGATGAACTAGACTGAACAGATGTTTTATTTCCTCCACTTTTTTTTTTTTTTTTAATCACTATTGCAAAAGGGGTGCAGTACATTTCCTTACAGAAATACTGCCCTGTAAGGTTGCCACGGTCAGGATGTGCCAGTGATTGCCTTGGCAGGCTGAAAGTGGCTTTGGCCTCTCAAAATCTATCCAGATACTTCACCTTTCACATGAAAATCATCTTCCTTCAACAATGGGAAGGCTGGCTGTGCTCTTAAGCAAGTCAGCAGATACTTCTCAGGTAAAACTTAGGGGCTTTAAATGAGGTCAAGCCTGAGGTTTTTACTCCATCCACCCTCCACCCCAGATACAGTATTTGGCCAGGATAAGTGGTTTGGGGACATTTACATTCTAAAACTCTTCATCATTTGTTGTTAATAATATTTTTGCATATCTTAAATACAAATCTGTTCCCTGTAAAGAGAATAATTCAAAGCTTCCATTCTACAAAATTTTAAAACAGGAACTTGAGTATCTGCTACAAATAGATTTTACTTGTATAACACTTAAATTGTCTGGGCAACATTGGGACTTAAAAAAATAATCCAGTATACAATGATGTTTCCAAAAAAATACCAGATTGGGAAAGAAAGATTACAGTTTCTATCTGTGCACACCCATTTTACAAGTATCTTTTCAAAGTGCATAGTTATGCAAAACATGTACCTATCCCCATGTGTGCTGTCAGTTAAGAGACAGTGTTATGGCATAACATTTGCATAATTTATCTTGGCATAAAGTTTGTTTTCCTCCATTAAAAAAAGATCTCCTCTAGAGGGCAGCATTAAATCAGTGTTCAATGACCAGAAAACCTCAACTTTAAGACTCCTTTATAATATATACTAAATTTACAGGCTAATAAGGCACAGTTATACTGACCAAGGATGGTTATTTACCATTACAGTAAAGCTGAAAAATTCTGGCATCTTTATATTTTAATTAAGCTACAAATGCATTACAATGGTTGAGTTCTTTCCTTCTGGCCCAAAAGTCTGCTCTGTTTGGCTGATGGCAAAACCATGTGCTACCTACAAGAATTCACAGATTGATTCTTGACTGACAAGACAATAAACACTGCAGACTGAAATCTTTGCTGGTGTGACTGGGCACAAGTGTTGGCTGTAACTTGAACCAGTCACACCAGCAAAATGGGATGCTGAGCTTGCAGGAGGGGTGGGAAGAGAAACAAGCAGGCAAACGAGAGCACAGGCTTTCTGGAAAGCCTTGGTCATCACAAACATGCTACCTGGATAGTGGGTTGCTATGACGATCTTAAAACCATGGGTAATGACCTGTGTCACTGGCCATGGAATACTTTTGAATCACTGCACAGTGTGTCAAACTGCTGAAACCTCAGACATGTTTTGCTGGTTTGCTTAAGAATTTTAAATGCTGAATTTATGACATTACGGAAGACAAAAGCACACCTAAATATTTCTTTTTGTTTGTTTGTTTCCTAAAAAGAAAACACATCAGAAAGTCCCTTATTGGTAGAAGAAACATTCTTAAATACACAGGAGAAAAATCCATATGGAAATAAATTCATCACTATTCTATATACAACAAGCCTCAGAAGCAGTGAGCACAGGAAAGGCAGCTCCCCATGAGAACAAAACAAAGCATGTGGCAATGTCTTGATTCTTTTTTTTTTTTTTTTTTTTTTTTTTTTAAGAGAAACCATTAAATCCCAGTGCATTAAGGCTTGGAAACAGTTTCAGTTTGGAATCAGACCAGGTCTTCTCTACCACCTGTTTCATAACCCAGAGAAAGAATCCTTGGACTCACAGGCCCAGCTCACAATTCAGCTGCAAAACTATTAATTGATCTCACCTGCATCCATCAGCACAGGCCAAATCATCAGGTTCACCCTCTGGCAAGAGCCTCTCTGGAGCTGCCAGAATGCTGTCAGCACTGGAGTTACAGACACAGGGTTATTTGGCCATGTTTCCTTCCCCCACAGCAGCTTTATGGAGTCCTCCTTATGCTCACAGTGGGGCTGCATCACCCTGGAGCACCAGGGGCTGAACCAACACAACCACAGAGTGCTTGAGCGTTAGTCACCTAATGGATTTGTCATGTGCTGGGGCAAGGTGGTCCTGCCTGCAGAGCTTTGTGGGTGGAAAACTTGGGGATTTCAGTGAGTTCTTATGCCCTTAGGACTCAATTTGGGAACTTTACTTCAGGCTACAGTACGTTAGAGAGAGGATGTTGGGCCTACACTGTTAAATCGAACAAGCCTCCAAGAAAGCTGCTTGTCCTCTGCTTCTGGGCAGCAGGCAGACATGGTTATCTTAACATGATGGAAATCACCATGTCTTCGTAGTCAGTTAAATTAGGCTGAGGAGTTTGATTTCATAAACTAGAAAACAAAATGAAACAAGTTTGTCTGGGCTTCAGATTCCCCCAAGACCAGTAACTTAAGTGTGTTAACCAGAATGTCTATTGATGAACTAAATATTCTAGTGATCAAGCCAGATCAATTGCTCAGTCTCCAACTGACCTACATTTCCTAAACATTAACAGCCTGCCCATCAGTCATCTTTATTGCTACTGACATCTAGTGGGAGCATTTTGCTGCATTTCTGAATTCCTGTAAAACAGTCTTACATTCTCACAAACCAGACAAAAAGAGAGTGGTTTCCTAGAGGAAAAAATGCACTATACTTTGAGAGATGGAGATAATGACTGAGTTTTGAGGGAGACTGCCAGTACTACCTAGAAGTGAAATTTATCTTCATGAGCTATTTGCAAACTCCGAGTATTTAAAAAGACCCACATAAACATTTTCATATGGAAGGAGAAAACAGGCAACTGATCTGGTGCAGATTTGCTGAGCAAAGCACATAGTTTTTTAACTCTTCCCAACAATATTACAACTGCTCTGAAACAATTTAGCATTTAGGAACCTACTTTTCTAAGTATGTTTTTGTGGAAAGCATGTGGAAGTCTTAAACAGACTTCCCCTTAGACTTCATACAAGCAATAAAAAAAACCAACAACAGTGGTTCCTCTGATGCAGTTGGTCGATCTGCTCGATGCAATCGATGGCATAAGGCTCAGGTGGGGACTGGGAGGGACTTCCAAGTGCAGATCACAACCAACCCCCCACCCCAGCAGCCCTGCCCAGGAGTCTGTACCTCTGTTCCCAGGAGTTCTGCTTTTCACAGGCAATGAAAAAAGGTTGGTAGAGTTAGATGTCCCACCAGAACATCCTTGAAGACCTACTGGTTAATTCCTTGTAGCTGAGGTGGGCACAGGTGCTGTGTCCAGCAGGGTCTGTACATGCCAGTGTTTCTGATGGAAATGAGAGTGGCAGAAGGCCAGAGAAGCTGCAGCACACAGGCTGCTGATTGGTACATGCTGCATTCACCACATTTGGGATGCAGAATAAGCCAACATTGAGAGGGCATTTGCCTGGGACTTTTCACAGACGATCCCAAAAAGAGTTGGCAGCTGAGGCAGGAGCACTGATGGGTATGGACACCAGCCGTGGGCCTGTGCCAGGAGGATAATCCCAGCCTTCCTTGGCTGGCATGGAAACAGGGCAAGTGCTCAGGCTGTGCCTTGGGGGTGGGGATGAACAACCCCAATTAAGAAGTTTAGTCAATTCCAGATGAGCTCTCTTCCTCTGTTCCAAACAAATGTCTTGGGTTCTGTGGCAGCAGAGGCGCTGTGCTGGGAGGGGGACGGTTGCCGTGCAGAGTGAGGAGGGCAGCAGGTAAAGCACTACTCTGGTCTTCTGTATCAATGTTTTGCAGGCCTGGCAGTGGTCACAGTTGATGCCTACAAGCACTGGATATTCCACAAGTTGAAGACGGAATACTGACTTGTTTACCTGAAGATAATAGGACTTCGGGGTATTTCCTCAGAGAAAATATAAATTTTAATATAATTTCATAAGCTTTGGAGGTTAGCTTGTCTTGTAGCTTCAGTGATATCAGACTTCAAGTAGGAGCTAGATAGAAAGCTGTTTAGTTTTTGCCAGCGTATGTAAAACAAGACTTTTCTATCTGCATTGTAGATTGTTTGTGGACACTTCCAGATTCTTGTGCTTTTCTGCAGTCATTCTGGGGACTGAACTCTCATTGATACAATAGAGGTTCCATGAACAGGACACGTACAGGAATTTTGAGTGTAGAAACCAGCAGTGTTTGTGATTTGGAGTAGTGAATTGCTTTTAGTTTGGAGATTACAGGGGGAGATGGGAAGAGCAGCTGTCCATTAAGGGAACAATTACAGATCTTCTTCCCAGTGACATCAATGAGAGATTTGCCTTCAACCTTCCACAGAAGATTTTTAGCTTTAATTTGAGACAGTAAAAGGGGTCTTTCAAAAGCACTAAAAGCCAGTGGGAGCTTGTTTGACTGCTCCTTATGCCTTTAAAGACCCCTGCACCAAAAGTGATAGCTAACAACATGAAATAGAAGTAAATAAAAATGCATTTTCATTGCTGTTTTTGAGTTACATAATTCTTGTTTTTTAATTTGTTAGTTGATCTGAATTTACATGGATTTAATCTATGTGGTGACCAAAAAAATGGTCAGTAACTGGTAAAGATGCAAAGTAGAACCACAAAGCAAGCAATGTGTAGGTGTAGACCCTAAGCAGCTAACAGGTAACAAGTTCACTGCCTGCAGCCCTAAATCTTTGTGTCCACATCTACTAAGCTAGATGGCCATTTCAGCATTTACCAGCAGGTAACAAATGCTCCCAGCTGACTGAGAGGATAAGCTCAAGGACACCTAGGACCCAGCCACAGATAAGAACTCAAAGACACCAGTCAAACATCACCCTACCTGTGTGGAGCACTGAGCATGTTCCCAGTGTTCTCCAGAGTGTCAGAGCAAGAACTACCTTAGCACTAGGTCATCTTCTGCAGGGCAGATCACCCCTGGATGGTCACATCCCTTTCTTAAGTCCTCTCTGGCAGCCGCTGCTGTAAGAGATGCAGTGGAACAAGCATCTAACAGGGTTCAGATCTACTCTGCACCAAAAATTACTCCCATTTGTGTTCTCCAAGATCAAGGCCGATCTCACCTGGTCTGATATGGTCAGGCTTTTAATTTCACCTAAGACTCCTACACAGAGCATAGCAACTGGTATTGGGCTGAAGTGTTTCCTCCAGAAATGGTCTAGATCAAAACCGTTAGGTTAGATCTAGATGGTTAGATAAAAAATGCATTAAAGTGATGGGTATTGCATCACTGGCCTGGTTAGGATTAACCAGTCTCACCATTAAAAAAATCCATCACTTTATTTCATTTTGTGCAGCTTCAGCTTCCATCCACTGGACGGGTATGTGTACATCTTTCTCTGTTCAGTTTAAGAACTTGTTAATACAATGTATCTCCTCCCTTTAAAGGAATCCAGTTGCCTCTTGATTTTCATTGTAAGCTGAACAAACTGGGCTGTGGGCCATTTTCCTCCTCCCTGAAATAATTTTTTATGGCTTTTTAGTGCACAATATATATATTTTTTTTTTCAACACCTTTAAAAATGTGGACAGGAATAGTGTGACATGTTTAACTGATCTCAATGCCATATGCAGATCTCAAAATTGTAATTCTCCTTGTATTCATTACCCTGCTCTGCACAGGTAATGAATCAGCCCAAGATAGACGATTTAAAGCAACCAAAAAAGGAGAGGAAGAGGAGGACAAGAGGAGTGTGCAGAGTTACAGTGTTTACAATTAAAACCACATAAACCAAGAAAAAAACCAAACACAGATGTGCCCTACAAACCAAGACAATTAAATACTCCAAACTCCCAAGCTTGGGAACCCCAACAGCAACTTCATGTGCTCTGTTGTTTAAGAACAGACTTCAGCAGAGCCCTCCCTGTCCTGCAACTCTACACTGAAACCATTACTATTTTTTGTGTTCTGTAATTTTGCAGTGGAGGTTTCTTGTGGAATTGGGGTTCCACAGTAACAAAGTGCTTGCACAGCTTCAGCCACAAACCCCAGGACAAGACCCAGAGGTGTTTCCACTTGAGGGAAAAAAGTTTTTTGTGATAGTAGCAGAAATACCCACAGGTAGTCAAAGTTGTTCTGTTCAGAGTGTCTGTTTCCATTGTATTAACAACAGGTAGCAATGAATGGAGCTTGGCTTTGTTTCCTCTACAAGTCCTTGTTTGACCAGATGGTACGTTCAGCAGCTTCTCACTCCTAGGGCTGCATCCTTTTTTTTCTTCGTTTTCAGCCAGGTGTTTTCACTCTTTTAATGTGCACATGCAATGCAAATACAGGGTTGAGAGCCAAACGAGGACAGAGGTTTCTTCCTCCTCCATGCAGGGAGGCACACAGGGAACACACTGTCTCAGCACTCTTAGTTCACACAGCAGCAACCTTAGCTGTGAACACTGTTAATTCCCAGCCTCTGCCATTGGTTCCTTTATCAAATCCTGATGTTATCATGCACATCTAATGGGTTTGGGAGCTTTACAGTGTTTCCCAAGTCCATAAATGACAGAATCCAGTATAAAAAAAGGTCAATATATTACTGTTGAAAGTTTTTTTTCCTCCTTTTTTTATACAAAAATTTAAAAAGATCAAAATATATCACATTATTTACATATTGTGCATCATGCTTAGAGATCACTGAAAGAGAACACACAGACAAACATTTTCATCAGAGAGAAACGTTCCATTCATTACTTTTACTAATCTTCTTAATATTATAAGAATTGGCATTCAGATTTCTTATAGTATTAACAGTATATCCAAAGAACTTAAAACCTTGTCTGTGCTAAGGGTGTGCTCACATTCTAACAGAGGGTTAGTAACTGGTTAGTAACATGCTTGCTAGTAACTGCAGCTGTGTCCACACACCACATGTTTGAAACAGGGTCAGTAATTTCACTCAGCTTCAGTGTCATATCCTTGTTGGAAAATGAAGTTACAGCTTCATCCTCCATGTCTGGATCAAATCCTCATCTTAAGGGGGTTGCACACAAGTCTTTTCTCATTCTCCTGGGCTGCCTTTGGCACTTAAAGCCCCTGTTCTGAGTGCCTGAGATGGTACAGATTACCTGACCAGGTGCACCCAGACTTACTGATTTGGGCATAGAAGCAGTGCAGTGGTTGTGGATTATCACAACAATAGCAGGAAAGTCTTTGGAAATAAAGAGTTAGGTGACTCTGTGATAAAGAGATCACCCATTGTAAAATTCTCAGCTATGGGCTGAGTTAAGTCACACGAGCACATTTTGCAGTGGTGCAGTTTTGTTTTTTTGTTGCATGAGTGGTTCCTAAACTGCCTGGGCCATAAAGAAAGCCTAGCCTGAGCAAGCCTGGGGAAAAAAAAGGCATTGCTAATGGGAATCATCTTTTGTACTTAAGAAGTTTTTTGACTACAGCTGTGGGGAACAAGATAGGAAGCTAGATGGAATCCTGCTCTCCCATATGACTGCCAGGCATGTAACCTGTTGTTTAAAGGAAGTGCAGCAGTACAAACAACCACCAGGCAGCAAACAAAATTACTCAGGACATGCTCAAGGATATAATACTGTTATTATTACTGTACCTTATGCCAACATCCTGCTACTGGCAGTCCGTCTGGTCCCTGCAAATGAAGAAGTCACAGATTTAATTTCTGTTGACAGTGACTTAAGTGTCAGACCCAAAAACCTGAAGCACAGTCCTCACTACACTGAAAGGTTTAGCAGCACCATTAATAACCATGCAAAACCCACTTGCACAAGAAGAAATATGCAGGCAATGTAACGTGCACAACACAAAATCAAATACTCTCCAGGTTAAAAAAACCCCCACAAAATCTACCACTTTCTTTTTCCTTTGAACAAAAAAGAAAATGTGAGCAAAGCATAAAAATTTGGAACCACAGTTAATTAACTTTTATAATCTGCTTTATATGGTAGTTATTTTTGCAATCAGACATAAATGTGGAAAGCATGCTGTGGAAATGTATTTTTTGTTAATATGTGCTTTTCAGTCTGGTGGAGTTGATGTAATTTTTCTTGGGATGATAACCTAATTGTGTTAAATTTGATCCTGCAGTACTTAGTTTCTTTAAGAAATCTTGTGTTGCTGAACTGAATGAAATAGGATGAGTTGTGGACTATGCAAAGGGAGTGAAAACATTTGTATTTTTCTGATGGAGATAAAGAAATGTAGAGAAACCAGAAAGCCAGAAGAGTTACTTACCAGGAGGAAAACACTGAGAAGGAAGGAGCCCCTTAGAAGAGGAATGGACTATGTATGACCAACTCTTTCAAGACCCTTTAGGAGAAATAGCTGCCTTCAGCTGCCTTTTCTAACACTGGATTTTTTTAAGGCTTTGGGATCTCTGTTTGCATGAGTTGCTGCATGTAGAGCTGCAGAGAGCACACGTGCCCTGACCCTTCCCCAGAGCGACCTCCAAGTTACTAGGGCTGGGAAGCCACGAGGATGTGTACACAGCTGAGATAACTGCTCAGGCAAATACAGGTCAAAATGCATTTTTACATTTTTTACTGTAAATGTCAGTCATCACATTTTTTTGTATTCTGTATTGATTTTGTATGTAAAATAGCCTATGCCCAATAAAACAGATGCAGTGAAGTAAGGTGATCCCCTCCAGCTACTCGTAGTGTAACAGGTCAAGCTATTTTTCACATGCTTTCCTATAACATTCGTTAGAAAACAATGCATTTTCCTGCTGGCACCAGTCAATAACTAATTTATTAAAAAAAAAAAAAGAGTTGCATGTTTGCCAGAGTTGTCTGGGGGTGAAGGGACAAGGCACAGAGCAATTATTTGAGCAAGAAAGATCCTGACCTGCTGTCAAAGCACGTCCCAACACTGACAAGCCATAGAGTTGATTTCTACCCTGGGCTTTTTCTTCTCAGACACTCAAAATACTTTGGCCATCATAAAACTCCATGCCTTTCTACTACATTTTGCCGAAGTGATTCCAAAATGACTTGTCAATTTAAAAAGAGCTTTGCAACCTGCTTGCAAGGCTCCTGCTCCCAGACTGAAAACCATGGCTGAGAACCCAGCAAGGTTCTGCTGCTCTGTGAGGTGGAGAAGGAAGACAACACTCCCAGCCAGCAAGCAACCACCCCACACCTACATGAGCAGGAAGATGTGCAAGTGCTTTCCTAACTACTCGTGTAGTAGAAGTCATCTTGGAGATTGGAGAAATCAAGGCTCCTGCGGCATAACAGTGCCTTCAGCAGAGACAGGTCTTACATTTTTTATATAGTGAAGATGAGAAATGGTTGGTAAATATAACATCTCTGGGGAGTAAATGCAGAGAGTTGAAGTGGGTCTGCTGCTAGTAATTGGTTTCTTTGACACATATGAAAGTCATTTAACTTCTTGAGAGAGGGACAGCTCACTGCCCTTTTGTTTCTCTCAAGGCAACTGCAAATCATCTAACATGCAGCATTTTCTATGGTAAAAAACATGAAAATAAAACAATGACCTCCTTAGCTAGTCGTGCAGCACCGCGTTGGGGAGCAGAGCAGAGCACGAACCTTCCTGCACAACTGTGTGATCTCCCATTCCTTATTTGCCTTATCTAAGGTCATTTGAACTGGGAGGAGGAAGGCACAATACCCAGTGTCTTTCTGAGTGCCAAAGCAACACATCTTGTCCCAGCTCTGCTGCCTTGTCTCCTTCCTCTCCCTGGAGGGATTTGCTCCTCAATAGGGCTTGGCCACAGAAACACACACACAAGCCGTGCAAGAGAGAGAGAACAGATACCGTACCGAAGGGCAGGGCACCCTCAGCCTGTCCAGGTCTGGTAAACCTGGGTCCCCTTTGCTACCTCCAATGCTATGATCTCCCTGTTTGGAAAATAACTGCTTGTTGAGAATTATAAAGGACAAGAGGGTTCCTCAGACAGACACCCATATTTCAGCAGAGAAGGAGAGATCCAGAACTTTACACCTCTGTTTCTGATGACACAGCAAGTCAGCAGAGCTGTTTTATGGTAGGGAATTCACAGACACGTAGAATCTGTCATCTGGGAAAGATCTGCTATACATGAACCAGATACACACGTTTGTAACAGTGCAGTGAAAAAGATGAGTTAAATAATCTGGCATGTTGAGGAAGGAAAGGCAATCCATTAGAAATTAAATAATTGTATTTCACATTCAATCTCCAAGCAAAATAAAGCATATTGACTGAGGGAGCTTTTTGCTGGTATGGCAGAGCTGTGTGACAGCTTTGATAGCCATAGCTGTGCTGGTGGGGTGAGAAAAAGTCACACATTTAGAAGGGAAATGGGTTTTTTGGAGCAGGTACCTGGCACTACTAGTTCAGTGCAGCTGAACTGGCTTTAACAGCTTCATTTCAGTAGTTGAGCTCAACAGTTAACACAAAACACTGATCCTGCAACCTCAAAACATTAGAGGGAAAGGCTCTCTCTGCTTTTTACCAGGCCAGATAACTTAGGAACCAGTATAGATAGTTTTGTTGGGTTTTTTTTGGCCCTAACAAAGGAATGAGAGGTTTTGGAGATCGACTTGGGAGATCCACCCTTCTCAGGCTCAGACAGGAGGTTTCCTGGAAAGCCCTTCTGTGTACCCACAGCACGGTGGTGGCCCAGGATGTGTCTGAGAAGGGACTGGTCTGAGCCATGAGCTGCTTTCAGGTGGAGAAACTCTCAGGGAGGTCTCTTCTCCCAGAGGCACTTCTTGGCAGCCTGGGGAACTCCAGCTCCTACATCACTCCTCTTTGCCAGTACTAAGATGCTGTTGGCTCTGCCCCGCTTGCCTAAGTGGGACAGCTAAGCCAGGCTCCTCCCTCACATGGTTTGTGGAGATGAAGGGATGGAGCTGACCTGGTTTTCCAGTTGCTTCCCCTCCACTGCACTGAGTTTCTCCCTGATTTCAGACGTGCTCCAAAGCCAGGCTGGCAGCTTCCCAGGGCACACTATCTCCTGAAGAGCATTACTGAAGCCCATTGTTCCTGACTACAATAAGAAGGTCTTTACACAAAGATTCTTTATTTTTACTGCTGTGGCTCACTCCCATCTGGCCAGAGAGGAGCCCTTACAGCCAGCAGTGAACTTCCAGCAGTGCAGATAAAACAAACCATTAAGAAAAGTGAGAAAACAATAACCATCTGCTCTGATTTACTGTGAAATGAACTCCCAAATTCTTCCTCACTTTCCCTGGCTGCAAAGCTGTGTCCCCTTCCAGTCCCAACACCATGTACTTCCAGTGGGTGAAATGAGACCTACCACAGGGCAAGGCTGATCCAGTCCTGGAGGGCCTGGTTCCCCCTTCTGCCCTTTGGCTCCTTTTCTCCCTGGAATTCCTCGCTCGCCCTGTTGGCACAACAGGAGAAGTATCAGGAACTGCAGGGGAAGCACCTTGGCTTTATCTCACACGGCACTTGCAGGGTCTGACACCTCACCCAGGATAAGGACCTTTGCACAAGTGTAACTGCAACTGAATAATTAAATTACCAAAATTACTAATTTAAATCTGGGGGGAGATAATTAAATAGATAATTTTATAACAGAATGACTGACTGGTTTCTGCTAGAAACCAGGCTGGTATCTGACAGTAAGTGGGAGCACCAGTTTCCAGCTGCTCTTGCCTCCAAGCTGGGCACTTAAAATTTAAGGATCCCTGTAACAAAACCTTTGACTTGGATCCATTTTTACAGTTTATAAACCAAAACTAATTATTCCTCACAACCTGGAGCTGTCAGGCCACTCCCATTTCCCCATGGTAGTTGTGCCAGGGGGTGTAGGAATTGTTCCAAGTGAGTAGGAATTAACTGCACGAGGGCTGTGCAAGTAGCTGTGCCACAGAGGAGGCCCTGCAGCAGTGACCTGGGCACTGGGGCCAGGCTGGAGAGGGAACCAGCACCGGGGCCAGCATCGCTGCCAGTGCAGAGCACACCCAGTCCTGCCCCCCCAGCATCTCTGCAGCCACAACCCACTCACCTTTTCTCCTCTTTCACTCCTCTCTCCTTTCTCTCCTCTGAGGCCTGGGAAACCCTACCACGATGATTTTTAGGTGGAAGAAAAAGGTTTGTAAGTTCAGTGTGTGATTGTTCTGACATCTCAGTTCAACATCAGCAACCTCCAGTGATCAACCCATCCTCCCATGGTGAAGAATATAACCTTTTCTTCCTGTTGATTTGGTACCTCAGCAATTTCTTGGGAAGGCTAGTGCTTTACCTACCCCAGTAACATTTCATCTGTTGGAGATTTTTGTTTCCCTGAATCCAATACAAATATTTTCAACTGGAAAGGGAAACCCCCATAGCACCGTTAGCTGAGCAGTTACTGCTGTGCAGCAGAAGCAGTCTGGCAACTGGCCCTTTCCTACAGCCACAGTTCCATGGGCAATATGTTTAAGGGTCAGTACAGTGTTAGTGACATTTTTCTGACCAGCTCAAGCAATTTGATGGCCTTTATGTACATCTTGTTCATGTTCCTACATATCAAATAGTATTTTCTATACTCACATCCAGTCCTGGCTCCCCCGGCTTTCCCTGCAGTTGTAAAAATAAAAAATTAAGACATGTCATACTGGGTTTGATATTGCAGGCAAACTTGAATCCAGTCTGGGGAGATACTACAGGGTAGTGACAGGATGAGCTTGCCCACCAGCCCCTGGGACTGATAGGAGCTGCTCACCATGCACTGGGATAGTACCAGTAAGCCCAGCTCTACAGTTCTGGCAGGCTCTGCTGCAGCAGGGATTTTCCCAGCCCCTATTTTAGGCTTACAGCAGTGCCACCCCTCCTTTCCCACACTGGTGGTTACCTTCTCTCCTTTGGTGCCGGGTAAACCAATGAGCCCTGGAGCGCCCGGGAGACCCTTTCAGAGAAAAAGAACCAAGGCACTGAGATAGCTGCTCTAAGGCAGGTTTCTGTCAACAGCCAGAAATAAGACAACAGGAAAACAACTCACAGCAGGTCCAGTGTCACCGTGGTCCCCCTTCTCACCACTGTCACCTTTTTCTCCCTTTGCACCATCCAAACCCTGCATAAATGAAAGGGCAATCAGCCAAGAAGACATGGCAGCTCTGCCCAGGACAACCACCCTGTGCATCGCCCCCTCCTCCCACATCTCTGGGGTGCTGATACCCACGCTGCCATTCACATTTTCCTCTTAACCAGATCATAGAATAAATAGTTGAAAATAGATGTTTAAGCCTGTGGATTTGGATCCCCTGACTTGCATGTGCTACTGACCCTCAGGACTCCAGGCGGGAGGAGGATTTAAGATTGTAAATGTGTTTGGAAGGAAAAATGGCTTGTTCTCCCAAAACGTCAACTGCTGAACAGCACAACCAAGGGTTGTGTTGTCACAGTGACAAAAAAAATCAGTCCCCATAGCTGACAGGCCTTTGTGAGCCTGTAAATAATGCACTGGCAGCCTGGAAACAGCGGGTGACATTTAATTTACTGACTTACTTTAGGCCCCTGGATTCCTGGAGGACCCTGTGGGAAAGACAATGGTGCATTTGAATACCAGAATTTAGAAAACAAACCCTCAAGTTTGCTTCCCAAATAATTTCTTGCTCAAATTAAAGGCTGACAATGGCCAAATATTTCTTTTCAAGACAGGTGGCAGTTAATTTGGTTCTCCGACACCAAACTGGGGGGGAAGAGGAAGGGAAAAGGAGCACTTTGTGTAACATGCAACAACAAAGCTCTGCAACAGGAGCTTTGGGGAGCAAGGGCTGCAAGAGCTTTGCTGAAGCAAGTGACAGCCAAAGCCCCAGAGGGCAGCACCCTGCCACCACAGCCCTCAAGCCCAGGTGGGACAGGAGACACTTCCCAGGTTATGAAAGCCACCTGGTTTTGAAGCACAGTCTCAAGGTGTCTCCTGGACACACCGGAGACATCCTGACCTTCCCAGCGCCCTTGAGAGCTCCTCAGCCTTTTGGAGCATTGTAGGTACCAAACACCTCAGGTATCTACACCAAAACTGCACCATGGGTTCATCACCACCCACTTTATTTCCCACTGCAACTGATGGCAAAAAACTTACTGACTTGGGCAAATGTGAATACAGACACCAGCACAGTGGGGAACAAGTATTCCCATCCCACAAAATTTTATCTTTCCCCCACCCAAAGAAACAACTTAGATATTTGCAAACTGTGCCACAAACACTGATACAGGCTCCAAAATCAGGTGCTTCCATCTCTGAAGACTGCACAGAACAATGTAGGTTTTCCCTGATCTTTTTCCCAGATTCACAGCAGCCCACAATGATAAAGCAGAGCAAACCACCCTCACTCTTCACTAATCACATATGATAACAAATCAGCAATGCTCCACAGCACCAGCTGCTTTCCAGAGTCCTACCATAGGGCCAGGTAATCCGGGGGGTCCAGGTTCAGGTATGATCTGCAGAAAGGAATTAAATGGCACATTAAGAGGGCTGGGCACAGGCAGAAGACACTTCAGGAATGGAAACCTTTCAGAGCCCAGAATCATGATTTAATGCCTTCTGATTTAATGGCTTTCATCAAAATACCTGCTATTCAAGTTGATTGTAGGATTTATAAATAAATTAATAAGGACAGAAATCAAGCTACTAGCCTCTGAAACAAGGAGGGGTGACCCACACCATTCAGGGTATTTGTCAGGCATAAAATTGAAGTAATGCAAAAAGATGCAATTTTCTGCATGGACCAGAGGGAAACAGCCTTTTGATTAAAAAAAAACAAACAACCAAACACAAAAGAACCCCGAAAAACAACAGACAAAAATTAAGAATTCTCATATTAATAAATGAATAAAAAGCTATCAAAATTTAATTTCTTTTTTTTTTCCCTAAGCCAAATGCCTGGCTAATGACAAAACAATGCAGAAATCCTATAAAACTGTAAAGGGCCCTTTTAGAACAAAACATAATTATACCAGCAGCATCCAAAATCTCAACAGGCAGTGCAGAATCTGAAGTAACTTTGCAGTGCCAAGAGTGCAGAATGTTCTTCCTTAGCAAATAAACCCTGTTTAGATGCACCTGAAAGTTCTTGTAGAAAACAGTTTGGCTTTGGATGCAGAGGGATGCAGAGCTGGCAGCTCCAGCTTGCACACCCTGATTTCACCTGTCTTGGAAGAGGCTTTATAGTGCCAGCATCTTACATGATTATTCTGCAAACAAGGTGAGCCCGTGTCTCCTTTTTCTCCTTTGTCTCCTTGTGGCCCTTCTGCTCCCTAAAAGATAAAAATGTAATGCTGATGTGGTGCCTCTTCCAGGAAAGCAAAAACGAGAGAAAAATACATTTGTCTTCCTCAAAACTCCCATGTGGGTTCAAAGCAAAGCTCATGCTCATCCCCAGGGCATTCAGACAGGATTTTCTCCTTGCTACCAGCTTAGATCACCTTCTGAATAAGCTGTTACCATCATCATTAGCAAAGAAAATGCAAAGCTCCCAGGTCCTCCAGCTCCACAGTAAGATGGTGTGGAGAGGCTGTGGCTCAGATCAGCAAACTTGAGTGTCTGCAGAAATCCATGCATTAAAGAACCAAGCAGCAGAAAGAGGGACAGAAGGAGGGACCTACCGGCGGACCTGATAAGCCCATTTCTCCTGTCTCTCCTTTCTGTCCTGTGGCCCCTGCACTTCCCTGGTCACCCTTTGCTCCTTTGGGACCCTGGAAGTTTACAGAAAACAACCAGTTAGGAGAAAATGGTTAAAAACACTCCCCACAATAGCCATTTCTGCCTTTCGTTGTTTCTGTATCACAGCACGAGCTCATGAAAACATGTTTCACCATGAAAGTTACATACACCAGGTTTGTGGGCCCAGCAGAATCTGGCTGGGCTGTAGCAGGGGTTGCAGCCATTTAGGGCTGGGAAGGTTTATGACAAACTTTGAGACAGGAGCCCCTTTATCTTGGCAGATGTGACCATAAGCAGCATCTGCACACTCATGGTTGAACGCAGGGCTGTAAGCAAGGGGCAATGAACTCGAGATGCAGCTTGGGGTAGGAGAAGGGCAGAGCTTGCTCCTGGCAGGTTTTGATTGGCTTTTTACTGCAGCAGCCCTCACAAACACACAAGTAATCTCCTTTTAACTGGGCTCCTGCAACATCTCCCTCGACCCAGCCATGCCCCTCGTACCTTTTCACCATCCAGGCCAGGTGGACCCGGCAAGCCCAGCTCTCCCTGGAGCAACACAAAGAAAGAAGAGCTCATGGTAAGTTAAATCAGCAAATCATCTTGGGAAAGTATTTTGCAAGGAAATGTGTTATTCACATGTATCAACTGTTGTGGTTATGGGATTGGCATTACCAGGCTCTGCTGACATTACCAGCTCATCCAAAGTTGGGTGACACTAAGACCTTGAGAGGCACCAAATCCTGCCCCATCTTGGTCTTCCAAGAGATGCTTTTCTGTAAGTTAAATTCTTCTTTTAAAGACACTACAGCTGACTGTAGGTTACTGGCTATTGCAGGGGAACAGCACAGACCCACTCAGACATAGTGCAAGGGCACATGGGGTGGTAGGGATGTGGGGCTGCTCAGCAGAACCTTTGGGACCCCTGGCTCCTCCTCACAACTGCTTCTCCTCTTTACTTCTGCCTCCTGCCACATGCAATGAGGAAATCTCAGAGAGGTTGGAATTTCACCTGCCAGGTGTGGGATTGGGAGTAGATTAATTTCTGGGACAGCATCTCCTGGAAGAGGCTGGAGACCAGAGAGAGGTCAGCAAAACTTTAGCTTCTGTGTGAAAAACCTTTTTTCCAGCCAGAAGAAGGGTTAAATAGCATTTCCTTTACCATGGGGAGCCTGAAGTCCTGCGGGTGATGGTACATGGAGGGCCACTAGTGACCCCATCACTCACTAGGAAACACTGCATGGCAGAGGTTGGACTCACCTTGGGACCCGGGGCACCTTGGGGGCCTGGTGGCCCTGGGGGACCTGGTGAACCCTGAAACACAGCAAAGAAAACAGGCATGAGCATGAATAATAGGAATATGGCAGACCACCATGAATAGGACACTGACCTCATGCCAGGGAAGAGTTGGGAGCAGTTCCTGCCTGTGAGATACAAGACACTTGTTTGACTGGGGTTGCCCAAACACCACGGTGAGCTCTGCTGACATGAGGTAACCCAAGGGCCCCTCTGGCACAGGAGATGAGATGTTCATGCAAAAGAAAACACAACTGGAGCTAGCTGGGTGTGCATGTGCAGTGTGTTGAAGCAAAGTGTGTGTTGAAGAGGCAAAATGCCTTTAGCTGGAGATGCACCCCCAAATTCGGGCTCCTCTTGCTGTATTCTCCCCTCTCCAGCCAGGCAGGCTGGCGAGAAGCATCCTGCTCAGAGAAACAACAACCAGCTGGGGAGATGCAATTAAAGAGGGGAAACAAAGGAGTTTGTGTGAGTATTAGCAGCAGGAAAACTTTGCACACTTAAATAAACTATTTTAACTTGGCACCACAAAAATGCCTTGACCACAAAATGCCTTGAGATGGACAAGCACTTTGCAAATTGCAAACTACCTCAAACAGCAAAACTCGTGGTCTTGTTCAGCTGAAAAAAACAAGGCCAATCACATTCCCAAACACCTTTTTCCATGACTGCATACTCAAACACTGTTACACGGAACCTGTGTAAAGCCACCGTTTTCCAAAGCTTTATCAATCAGACAGACCAGTGTGCAAACACTGAAAACAGCAAATAATCAGAAAGAAGGCAGTCAGCAAGGTTCAATGTCATGCCCCTCAGCAACCTCTGCATGCAACACACAGGAGAGAGTCTGGGCCCAGCAGGTCAAGTCTCCAGACATTTGGTGGAGCTTCTTCCAACCACTGCACTCCACAAACACCACTGACAAAGCTGCATGCTGTGCAGACATCTGGCAAATGGTGATTACCATCACTTTGTGTATCCCTGCAGCCTGTTATAAAACAATTAGGACGGTTCTCAAATATGTCTGTAATTAAGTATTTATTCTACTCAGCTTCTTTAATCTTAACCAAAATGGCAGGTCAGGCAGGTTAGAGCTCAGGTGCCCTTTTCCCTTCCTCCCACATCCCAACCACTGCTAGCAGAGAAAGCTGCTCCGGAGGATGCACAGGGAAAACCACAGCTCTGCACCAGGCCTTGGGAATAACACCCTGCAGCCAGCAGTGCTCAAGCTGGGACCTGGCTGCTTACCCTCACTGAATCAGGTGTTACATGTCATGGGCTCCTCGAGTTGCTTTTACCCACAGAACATGACCTCACACCCACCAGCCTGATTTCCTGCCCGAGTTCACAGCCCCCAGATGCAATAAACTCTTCCCTCCCAGCCAGCCCTGTGCAGAGACAGAGATCTTGGGAGGAGAAGTAGGACAGGGACAGACATGGTGACACAACTCAGCAGTTTTCCATTCCCTCCCTATGAACCTGAAGGAATTGGCAGGTCTTGGTGCAGGACTAACCTTGAGTGCATCCTGGATCCGGCCATCATAGTCGATCACTACAGTGTCACCTTGTTCCCCCTTCAGGCCAGGGGGGCCCTGCAACCAGGGATGAATTCTAGTTAGATTTTGCAGCACCAGAGAATGAGGTGGTATGAAAATAAAGACTTGACACCCAGGTGTTTGGGGACTATCACCTTACAAGCTCCTTTGATTAAATCAGCTCCTAGTCTGACAGCTCTGTCACCCAAACGCCAAAAGAGCACAGATTTGGTTAAGTCCATCAAAATAATCACTTGACTCACTTGATTCAAGCTTTCCTCTTGAAAAATAAAGGTCACAGGATGGTCACACTGATAAGAAAATGGGACTTGGCTGTGTTTCCCAGAGCTACCTCCTGTGGCAGTGACTGGTGCCTACATAACGGTTTAAATATGTGTCACCTCTATTTTCTAGCAGTATTTTCTAGTGATTCAACCATGTTCTAAAGCAGAAAGAGGTGCTGGGGAACAGCTTTGGTGGAAGGCAACAACTTCAAACTGAAAAATCAAAACCCTGAACATCCATACCCGGGGTCCAATGGAGCCGATTCCTCCCTTCTCACCAGGTTCACCCTGAAAATCAAAATCACATTTGTGGTTCAAAGAGACCAGAGAAAATACAGGTTATTTTATCTTCAAGATACTGTAACTACAGGAGATGCCAAGATGTATTTTAGATTAAGTATGGCACCAACAAGGAACTGCTTCTCCTAGCAAAAAAACAGATTTGATTTCAGAGCAAATATATTTTGGAAAAAATACTGTCAAGTGTGAGGCAGTTGATAGTGAGAGAAGGTGTCATGGCAGAGGGAGCAGAGCACCCTGAGCTCCTGGTAACGGTGCTGAGCTGCTCCCTGGCTCTGCTCACTGCTCCAAGCCTGCCAAGCTCTGGCTTTTTCTGCTGGTTTCACGTGGCTCTCACTTTGCTTTAGGCTGAATTTTGCATGTGGAAAGTTTCAGCTGACACGTTTAAACCATTTTTGAGGGTGAGTTTAAGGAAAAGGGCTGTGCCAAATTATTCTTCTCCCCCTTTTTTTTTTATTTTTGAAAGTTGGGAAGTTTTGGAAAGCTACTCCTGCAGCAGTGACCTGACATTCAGGAATCAACTGTCCTTCTAGCCATCCCTATGGAAAACCTGGCCAAATTAAAGCCCTCAAAAAAGTAAAAAGTTGCATAAAACCAAAGGCACTTCATAGGAAAAAGCCAAATCAGCAGGTCCCAGGGGAACAGACCAGCACTGCTACTATGGTTATAGAAGAAAAGAAATGGCTAAGGGTCACCCATGTTTCTTCACCACACCCAGGCTCCTCCCCAAAGAGCCACGGGTGTTCAATACAGAAAACACAACTAGATACAGGTCCTAAGAGGTAAGAAGCAGCTGAGAGGGGGAAGAACAGCCCCCAAATGGTGTGTGGGTCTTGTCATCACTGCTTAATGTGTCAGGATGTCTGCACCTCGGGGGCAGTTCCCAAGGGCAGAGGCACAGGAGAGCATGGAAGCAACAGCACAACCATCGGTTCTGCAGGGCACAGCAGAGCAGAGGTTTGGTCTTCTTGGGAAGAGGAGGCAACTCAACGAGAAATATGCAGGGAGATGATTGTAAAATCTCATACTGATCTCAGCTTGAGTTGAATTAACTCGCCAGGAAGAGGTAAAATACTTAACATCCCATTGTTCTGTTACAGTTTGGGCATTTTATGAGCCTTTTAGAAAGCAAAGGCTTCCAACACCTACTCAGCTGAAGCCCCCTGCCCCCACAGGCTGTGCCCAGCTTCCCAGCTAATGGACTTCTACTTACCTTGGGCCCTGGCAGGCCATCTGTGCCATTCTCTCCTTTAGGACCTGCACTTCCTTTTTCTCCCTGAAAACAAGACAAATGCTACATGGGTAGGATGGCAAGCAGGTTTCTTCAGGTTAGAATTTTCTTACTTGACTTTTACATCTGAGCGAGCAAAGCTCTGCTTTTAGCCTGAAATACATCATGTTGCCTGGGTGCAAAAGGGGAGGGTTTGAGATTAAAATGAAGCTTTCAAGGTTTGGCTGTGGGTGCAAAGTTAGCCCCAAAACTGCAGGGGCTGGAGAAGGATCCCTCAGAGAGCCTGCTGCACCCTGACAAACCCACACCCCAACCCCCAGCTCAGGGCCACCTCAGCCACACTCCCCAACTCTGCAAGAGGAGCAATTATCTGACAAGTTACTTTTGCAAGCTGCTTCTAGGCAGAGCTGACAAGACAGAAGAGTGGGTTATGCTTATCAACTTTTTGTTTCTCCATGTCAGAGGAGAAATGTGCTTCTCAACCTGCCTCAGTTGTGATACTGGCCAAGGTACCAGATAGTAAAAGATGCTGCCAAGCACATACATTAGATGGACACAGTAGAACATACCTTAGGGCCCATAAGTCCTGGTTCCCCAGGGATGCCATCATCACCCTGATGAAATAAATTATAAAAAGTGAAACATGAACATCTTGTACATATGTATCATTAGGATCCAACACTTCATTTGACCTTACTGAGTGTTGCATAGACCTCAGACACACTCAGATTTGCAGGAGGATGGGGAAAACAGTGACAAAGAGACCAGGAGGCTTCAGCATGGTCTTCTGCTCCCACTCAGCTCTGCTTCTGCCTCCTCTGCTCCCAGTGAGGTGGTGAGCACCTCCCAGATTGTGCTTCCAGTAGGGCCTGCGGAAGGTGCTCTCCCACCTTAATAGAAATTAGATATTTAATCCATTTAGGCTTTCCAGGTCCCAAAGACCTCCTGTAAACTGCCAGCCATCCCTCACCACAAATCACCAGCATGCCTGTCTCCCAGGAGGTTTTCTTGTTTCACTTTTCATGCTCCATAATTCTCCACTTCATAGGTGTTGAAAAGGTTAATTTTCTGGCCAGTTATGAGGTTTTTAAGCCAAATTCTGGCCTGAAAAACACCACAGCCTCATCTGTTTTGGGGCAGAGCAGTAGAGGGAAAGGCTGGGCCCAGTCAGTGCATTGGCTTCAGCTACAGGCAGTGATTTATCCACTGCTTGATGGAACCACCAGAAGAAAATGTGGAGAGCTCAGATGTGTGAATCCCTCCCACAGCCTCCAAGGCCCAACCCAGGCAATGTGCCTGTCCTGGAGGGAATGGGCAATCCCCACGAGAATAGGGTGCAGCACCACCATGCTCATCCCAGGAACCTCAAACCCATCCCAGGGGCTGCTGGGCTGATAACAGCCTCTAGGCACCCCTCAGTTCAGCCTGAATGACTGGAGTGAAAGGGCTCAAGACCTACTGCTTTGTTTGGTATTTGCTGGTTTTTTTCTTTGTCTGTTGGGCAGATGTGATTGCAGCTTCTGGCTTGCTTGTGGGAATGACAAGCAGGCTGCAGGCACTGCTGTGCCCACACGTGGGGGCTGCATGGGTGAGAAACCCTGGGGAACACAAGGAAGGGCTCAGTACCAACAGGCATTGCCACAGCTTCTCCATTGGCCTCTGGCAATGGTTTCCCTAATCAAGCACTGAGTAAAAGTAAAGCAAAAAAAAAAAACCAACTGCATTTTACCTTTTTCCCTTGGCTGCCACGCTCACCCTTCAACAGCAACAATCACAGAAGAGAAAAAGTTTAGGGACATAACAGCAAATAAGACCAATTATGTAGATACTCATAATTGACTGCAAAGTTAAAAGACTTGGCTTGTGTTGATCATCTTTATACCCCCCCAAAATGCCAGAAAGCACAATCCTACAGGACACCAGCTTCCAGCCCCCATTTCAAGGATAACAGCCTCTAGGCACCCCTCAGTTCAGCCTGAATGACTGGAGTGAAAGGGCTCAAGACCTACTGCTTTGTTTGGTATTTGCTGGTTTTTTTCTTTGTCTGTTGGGCAGATGTGATTGCAGCTTCTGGCTTGCTTGTGGGAATGACAAGCAGGCTGCAGGCACTGCTGTGCCCACACGTGGGGGCTGCATGGGTGAGAAACCCTGGGGAACACAAGGAAGGGCTCAGTACCAACAGGCATTGCCACAGCTTCTCCATTGGCCTCTGGCAATGGTTTCCCTAATCAAGCACTGAGTAAAAGTAAAGCAAAAAAAAAAAATCAATCACCATTTTACCTTTTTCCCTTGGCTGCCAGGCTCACCCTTCAACAGCAACAAACACAGAAGAGAAAAAGTTTAGGGACATAACAGCAAATAAGACCAATTATGTAGATACTCATAATTGACTGCAAAGTTAAAAGACTTGGCTTGTGTTGATCATCTTTATACCCCCCCAAAATGCCAGAAAGCACAATCCTACAGGACACCAGCTTCCAGCCCCCATTTCAAGCTGTTAAGGTGGGCAGTGGCTGTGCTTTTTGAGTAGGTGACACATTCAGGCAGACATTTACAGCTCCAAGTCAATGGCTCATTTGAGTTCTGTTTCTGATCAATACAGATGAGCCAAAATCCACTGCAAAATGTATGTCCACCTCCACCCCCCCTTATATTTCAAGAAATATTTCAAGAATTCATGTTTAAATTAGACAAATTAGAAATTACTTGTTACTCACCTTTGGTCCTGGAGGTCCCCTGGCACCCTGTTGAATGTAAAAGTAGTTGGTATGCTTGTTTGACAAGAGTGTAACAGGATAAAAGCATTTCCAAGAGTATTTTAATTCCCATGAAAAAAATGACACAGTTGCCAATTTCTCTTCCCTTTCAAATACAGCTCTAAGTTATCTGTTCTCCCAGTAAATACTACATATGTTTTATGGCTTGTGTGTTTTACGTACAACAAGCACCTTTTATATCCAACCAAGACCTTAGTGAATTGGAGTTACAATGCCAGGAGGTTTCAGAGGGGCACAGGCTGGGGACACAGGAGCAGCACATCTATCCAGAACAGCACAGATTGGCCTCTTTTCTCCTCAGGGCACAGGTGCCCCTGGACAAACATCCATGTTAGGGCCTCTGTAATTTCCCATGGGGTGGTTTTTTTGGCCTCCATAAGTAACAACACAAAAGCACTTGTTGCAGAGAGCTCAAGAATGAAAGTGAGAGGGACGAGGGGCACGCACACACAGATGCTGCTGGGCAGTACTAACCATGAGGCCTTCCTCTCCTGGCTCGCCTTTCACACCCTGCAAAAATAAAAAGGCCAACACTGAAACTATGATCACTCATTCTCCAAAACACCCATGGGTAACCAGGATGTTCAGTAGCACAGTATTTCAGCCTTTTTCTTTACTACATGAATTGCCAGCAATCTAGAGATCTGCAACAGGTTGTCTGAAGGCTACAGATCAGGGAACAGATCCTTGGACTCTGAGTTACAACCAGCACCTGTAAGTACATGTTCCAGGTCCAGCTCTTTGCTTCAATACTGAAGATGAAAGGTGCCCTCCTGCTCCCTTGGCCCCATGCCCCAAAGCTTTGCTGTGTGAGTGAACATCAGAGCCCAACTGCTGGCCTAGGCTGGGAACTCAGGGGCTGGGGCCAGCCTTCACCCTCCTCTCCCTTGCTGGGCTGGGGACTGCCTGACACATGCTCACTGTGCATCTCCAGTTCTTACAGGGGGGCCTGAAGGTCCTCTTGGGCCATCCTTTCCTGTGTCACCAGGAGGCCCCCGGGCACCCGGGGGACCTGGAGGACCAGGGGGGCCAGTGGCTCCATCTTGACCTTGATCACCCTGGAAGAAGTTCACACAGACATGGTGAGATGAAGCAGCACTGGAAAGCGGTGGCCATTGGGTGCCTGTGACACATGCACTGCATCTCTGGGCCATCAGCATCCAGGCCTCCACTGTCCTGGAGGAATTTAATTACAGCTGCCAATTAGGAAGGCTGGGAGCTCATGGCTGCTTCACACCCATTGGGTCTGGATTCTTGAGCAGGATTTTGCTCAGTGCCTTCCAATGAGGTTTTATCTCATTAAGCCCTTGCCCAGTGACTGTCTGCACCCAGAAATAACCCAGACCCAACAACATGCTGGTGGGGAGCATGCACACACTTTCATAGCTTAGTGGACCACACAAAAAAAACCTCATTAATTTAAAAAAAAAAAAAAAGAGTAGCTTTTAGTAGTATCCTTAAAAACCAGCCAAGGTCATATATTGACATCCAGTGTAGCTCACACCCAGTGTTGCTTGGGTGCAAAGAAAAAAGCAGCAGCTGTATTTCTGTGTGACTGTGAAGCTTTGGTAGGTGCCCACTCCAGAGAGGAGCATCCCAGGGGGCTCCACTTCCCAGTTATGGGCTCCCAATCCCCTACCAACCACTGCAGCCCAGCCCCAGGGCCGGGCACAGCCATGTGGCTGCACAATGGAAAGCCTCATGGAAAGGCCACCTCATAAATCTTTTAGCAACATCTGCAAGGGTTACCACCGAGGCAGTAAGAGGACTTTATTTAATATGTGGTCCACCCTCAAATCAGGGACAAGTGTGGGATTTCCAGAAGTCCTTAAGTGACTTAGCAGCACAAACCCCACGGCCTTTCAACAAGATCTGTGCTCCTAAATCACTTGCAGAATTTTTAAAAAATACCCTGTTGCAAATGCTGAACACTGCATCCAATTATGTCAAGAGTCTCCCACTGAATTTTGCCTAATTAAAACGTCACATTTAAAGTATGAGAATTTAGACAACTCTAGTTTTAATACATTTTATTTAATAAATTTATTTCCAATGCCTGCACTGTTAATACCAATATTTATAGGATTTTACTGCTTGAGCCCCATTTTTCACAAGTGGCCAAATCCTAAATCCACCACTTTTATGTCTCCTTTGACAAAACTCCCCTGAAATTCCAACAGGGTTTCACTCAAGCACATTCCCGACAAGCACCTCTGAAAATGGTCATGACAAACAATAGCAACAATAATGCACTTCCAGCCAGAGAGAAGGAGCAACTCAAAGAATCACAGCAAACCAAGATCTACCTTGAGCACTCGCCGGCTAAAGACAAGCTGATCGTTAGCCAGAAATCCGTGATTGAGCCGTGGAAAAACCATCTAGTCAGGTACAGTGGGAGGCAGAGGAGGAAAGAGCAAGAATTTAAGATAAAAGCACAGCTGAAGAATGAGTTTGAAAGGCTGTAACCACATATAACAAATCATCTTGGTGAATTAATTAACGAGGAGGAAAATAATCTAGGTGGCCAACTGGGGTTGTTTGAACGTTCTGGACACACTGGAACTTGGTAAACAGACATAAGGGAAAAAGTATCTTTTCATGAGTTTACAATAGGACATTCAAAACAGCTGGGTACAGAGGATTCCCCTACTGCAGAATAAAAAGCATTATTCCAGGAAACCCCACAGGGAATATATCCCAGCATTTCTCCTGAGACCAAATATTATATTATTTTTTTTCAGAGGCTAAAATGAATACTGATGTATTCCCCAGCCTGAAAAATGAAGATAAATCTCTCAGATTTATATGATGCAAAAACAATGTATTCAGACCATGTCAATAGTCATTGCTATTGTATTTTAGCCTTCCCACTTATTTATCTAGGGAGAAGCAGTAAGACATTTCCTTTCCCAGGACACTGCTTGCCTCCCTTTCCCTCATACACCCCTGCACACATCAACAGGAGGACCAACAGGATGGAGCAAAGCCACAAGGATCCCTGTGGGAACACAGAGCACATCCCACCTGAGGATTTTGGAAGGTTTCTAAGGAACAAACCTCTTGTCCAAATTGCCCAGAGAGCTTTTAAACCTTTCACAAAAGTAACAGATAACCCCAAGCCTCAATTTGGGGGTAGATATTGCAGAATAGGCAAGCCCACCTCCTGCCCAGCCTTCCAGAACAGACTTAGCAGCAGGAGTGCACAGGTACAGTGAGCACAGATGTTGTAACACAGACATCTCAGAAAGGGAGGGTAAAAGCAAAGTCAGAAAGGAAAAAAAACAAACAAAAAACCAACCCTAGCAAATAAAGCCCTTTCAAAAAGCTTTTCCAAGCTGTAGGGAGAGTCTTTAGTTTGTCACTCACTTAAATCTCCCATTTTTTGGGAGGAACAATGCTGAAAAGCTGAGATTTATGAAAACCAAGATGCTGTCGCATCAAAATTAATTGGGACAGAGCCCTTGCCCTTCATCTGGCCCCCTGGATACTACAGAAACCACCAGAAAGGCTCTACTGAGGGCAAAAGGTTTTCTGGTAGACCCAAAGGACCTGGTTTTACAGCTTCTTACATGTGTGAAGATACACAAGAACATTAAGTGGGATTTTTCAGAAAAGCCCAAGGAGCAAGACAGGAACCAACTTTTTTCTTACCCCTCAGATTGCTGAGCACCATCCAAGTAAACACCTCCCAAGCCCAGCCCTATTTCCATGTGAAATGACAACTTCCATTTATTCAGAGGCCAAACACATTGTATATCCCACCAAATCCAAATGTTAAACAATCCCTGTTACAGATGGGGCTCTGAATGGTGAACAGCCCTAAGGGCTATTAAATGCAGAGACAATTTTTGGCCCAAGAAACATCCATGGATAACCAGGCTCCAGGAAAGCAGTTAAGTGTGGGGGGAATTACATATTCCTGCTCTGTATTTACACTCTCCTGATGTGTCTGCTCATGGGACACTGGGCTAACTGGCCTGTGGGTCTGACTCTGGATAGCAACAGAAACTAACGCACAGAAGCCTGGCACTTCACTTAGCACTGGCACTTCATTTAACCATTTCAACATAACGCTCCAAAATAAAGTAAAATAAAATAAAAATAAATTTAGTCCTTGTGCTGGTTAGCTGATGCTCCACAGCAGCCTCCCTGATGCTGTTTGCACACATTAGCTTCAGTGCCTGAGACAACCCGATGTGAATGCCTTCCTCAGCTCTCCAAAATCACCCTCCAGCATCTGCATCAGACATTCCCATGGGCAATCATTTCTTTGCTGCCCACGCTGTCAGCAGGTGTTTCTTGGAGACAGAAAGAGCAGCACTGCAGACATGAACATAATCAGTAGCTAATCTCTTACTGCCTTCATCTCACTTCCACTGCAAACAGTCCCTCTAAAGCTGCCCCAAGCATTATTGCCTTTTAATCTATCATCCCCAATGATAATATTTTTGTGTTCACTGACACACACTATCCCTGCTCCACTGCCCACAGACACGCACGCTTACAAGGGAGACAGCACTGGATTTATTCCTAGTCATTTATCCTCCTGTTGATGCGATGACTTGCTGCAACACATCTTTCAAAGTCAGCTAAACAAAGCCACCACTGAAACTTGAGGAAGGAGATAGAAAAAACTAAGAAATAAAAATAATCTGGGCCAGAAGGCATCAAGAAGTTTCATATCCCATCCACAACCCTGAGTGTCTGAAGACATAAAGGAAGCTATTTTCAAAGCCAGGCACCAGTTGTTAGACCCACTTGTGCATGGCTCTGCCAGGCTTGTTTCTCTCCCTTTCCTCTCAAGTGGTTTCTGAGCCTTTTCCTTACTCTTGTGCAAAAAGACATAAATAAAAGTAAAATGAAATCTGGACAAATGCAGATCAGGGGTGGGGGGAAAAAAGAAGCACAACTTCATTGGTAGATTAAAACACAGAACAAGCGTTACCTTGGGAGCTGGCACCTGCCCCTGCAAGTCCAGAAGGAGCCCAGAGCATCTCCCGCGGTGCCAACAGGAGCCGCGGCAGGAGGTGGGTTCCCACGTTATCCGGCACAGACCACCAGGGCTTGGGAGCCTGGGCATCTCCTCCAGCATTGGTATAGTCACCAGCCCCAAAGTCACCCACAGCCATGGCCAAGGAGTGAAAACTCACCCCCATGTGCCTCTGAAGCACCTCTTAAAGCCTTTTCTGAGGATGTGGGTGGGCTCTGTGGCAAGGTGGAGACCTTACGCCAAGCCCCTCCTTGACCATGCAGAGCATGGAGTCTATTGGAGAAATTTTAAGGGCCTTTTGAGCCTGAGAGTGAAAGTTTTAAATGTACCCAAGGCAGCTGGGAGCTGCTTGAGAAAACAACATCAACTTCAAGTGACTTAACAGCCTCTGGGGGAAAAAAAAAGAAAAATGTCTGAGGAATCCTGCCTGATGTTAACCACTGATGCCCAGGCCACATTTCCAGCAACCACATCCAAACCTACCAGCTGACCTTTGGGTGCCAGCTCTGAAACTGAGCCCTCTGAAGGACCAGTATGGCAGCATCTCCCAACACCCACACAGAGGGGTTTCTAGCAGGTGTCCATAAAACATGGCCAACCACACCTCCATTACTATGATGGAGCCCACCTCAAAGATACTGCAGAACTCGTGGTGAGCCCTCCTGTCTCTCAGCCCTGACACAGGAGACTTTGTGTTACTGCTGCCATTGCAAAAACAGTTTTCCTTAAACCCTTCATTTGCAATCAAAAGCAGCCTGTGCTCCCAGACAGGCAGCTTCCCGAAAGAGGAGGAACTTTCCATCCTGCACAATACCATGCTGGGTCTTGCCTTGGGACACCAGGTCTCACCACCACATAATGGTGCTCTAAAGACAATAAGCACCACAGCTTTGAGAGGAAGATGGAGTTTGTCTCTGACACTGGAATCAGGGATAGGAAAGTCCAGTAAAAGCAAAACCCTTCATGAGGTATCTGAAGGTCTTCAACTCTTGTTTCCCCATGGTCAAACATCTGGAACATCACCACCACAAAGAGTTCCAGTGGCAAAATTAAACATTTCCAGAACTGTTACCATACCTCAGTTTGCATCAAGAAAGCTGCATGAAGCCTTGTTTTGTGCAGGGACTGAGTACAGACAGACTGCAGAATAAATCATTGTGCCGTGTCAATACTCACCCTCGGGCCGACGTCCCCCGCTTCACCCTGCGCGTCAGGCAAAACAGCAAAGGTCAGCTTTGAGAGTTCAAATTTCAACCACAAAGGACTGAGGGCAGGGTCAAGCTGGACACAGGAACAGCACACAAGGGGAGTGGCAAGAGTCTTATTGCTTAATGTATTCAAAACCAGGGAGGAGAAGGGCTCGAGACAACACAATAGGGAAAGATTCTGCCCTGGCAGGCATTAAAATAGATAATAAATCAGAAATAGCAGATTGTTTCCAGCTCTAAGGCTCCCCTAGCAACTGCTTATGTCCTACATATGAGAGAATTAACATCACTTTCAGTACAGTAATGACCTTCTTTGCCTTCTCCAGTTTCATGGGAAAATGTCATGCAAACACAGAGCAATGGAGCCCACAGCTTTGCTCTTGGTGGAAAGCAAGGAGAGAGTTGTGTGCCACTCCTAACCCTTAGGGGGTTACTACACCATGGATGAGCTTTAAAGCCATATTTATTCCTCTCTAATCTTTGCAATTTCCTTCTTCCCTCCCCTTCCCAGGGCTCTTCCAAAAGCAACCTGAGAATACGTTGTCATGGCTCTGCATCCCAACAAACCCAGTAGCAACGCCATGCTGGAGTACTGGGTAACCCGAACTGAGAGAGTTACAGCAGGAAGGAGATATACAGTGCTTCCCCCAAAGCCACATATTAATATGATCTTTACCTTCTCCCCTTTTGGTCCTGGAGGTCCCTGGAAATAGAAAAGGATACAAGTTAAGAGACAGCAAATCATCAATGCACACAACAGCAGAACCAAGGAGACTGCATTCATCACTTTACACACCCAAGCCATGTTTGACATTGTAAGTTAGTCTTGCTATTATTTGAAGTTATAGATTGCTTCACATGAGCAGCACACTACCAAAAAGCACCAAGGAGGTCTTGCCTGCTCTTGCAGGCCAGAGAGGACCAGAGCCAGGCGTGCAGTGTGACAGCTGCCTGACAACATGTGACTCTAAATATGTGCAAGAGATTTCTTGTATTATTTTTTGAAAAACACATGCTCAGCATATCATTACAACAATTATTCATATGTTTGAAATAAACAAGGAGGATGGGCTGCTTTCTTTGGCCTGTTTGCTGAAGACATAAGTCATCTTGCCTCTAAGCAGCTTTCTGTAAGACAGGCAGGCAGAGACACTGCACCCCCAAAGAGAAGCTGCAGAATCACCCTCTGATGTCCCTGCTCTGCATCCTCTTTCCAGCACAGATACTGAATCTCAGGGTTCAGCCCCATTCAGGGTGTTTGCCCAAGCAGGACCTGTTGGGATGCAGGGGAGGAAGGTCAGCAGAGAAGCCAAGAGCATCTGCATCCCCCTGCAGCATCCCTCCTGCTGTTAATTTGGCTCTAAGCAAGGCTGCTGGCCCCTTGCTGTCATGGAACAGATCAAGATCAGTCTGGTTTGAGTCTGGCTGTTTGATAAAGTTTGCTTTTTCGTTGGGATTTTCCCTGCCTCTCACTCAGAGGTCTGGCTCCTGCCCACTGCACAGGCACACCTGGCAGCTGACAGCAGCCACAGGAGCATGTGGCCAGGACTTGTGCTGTTCTTCCATCTCAGGTTTTGCTAACTCTAAGCCAAGCCCTGAGCACAGGGCTGTGAGCTGGCCTTTCTTCTTTTCTAATGCTTTCTTTCTGGTTTTCTTATAATTCACATTTGTCATCTTCAAGGGTAGGATATAAACCAATCACAACAATATACAGCTATAGCAAAATACTCCCTAGCTGGCTAGAAATAAACATCTGCTGTAACATTTCAATTGCAAGGGCCAAATTACTTCTGTCTGCATTGAAAAAAAATCAGTTTAGGACGAGAGCTTGAAAAGAATTCAGATTATGCCCTCTTGACAGCAGCCACAGGAGCATGTGGCCAGGACTTGTGCTGTTCTTCCATCTCAGGTTTTGCTAACTCTAAGCCAAGCCCTGAGCACAGGGCTGTGAGCTGGCCTTTCTTCTTTTCTAATGCTTTCTTTCTGGTTTTCTTATAATTCACATTTGTCATCTTCAAGGGTAGGATATAAACCAATCACAACAATATACAGCTATAGCAAAATACTCCCTAGCTGGCTAGAAATAAACATCTGCTGTAACATTTCAATTGCAAGGGCCAAATTACTTCTGTCTGCATTGAAAAAAAATCAGTTTAGGACGAGAGCTTGAAAAGAATTCAGATTATGCCCTCTAGTAAACGTGGTGGAAGAGGGGTGGGGGGGGGAAGGCAAGACAAAAAGTTGTGACCTCCTGCAAACACCCAGCTGAAGGGATCAGATCTGGCTGCTGCTCAAACAGTTTGACAATAAAAGAAAAGTCAGTGGTTCTCTAAAAGAAGAGAGTGGAGCACCTGAGTACCTACAGGGCTTCCCAGAAAAAATGAAGTCAAGCAAATAGCTCATAAAATGAAGTCCAGGGTGTCCCAAAAATACTGTGTGGACACCAGGCACTCTCAAACACTTCCCGCTTGGTACCTTCAGAGGCAAATGAACCCAGTTTGAGAACAATTATTTTTATGATACCACTTCAGTGCCAGGAGCACACAACTGAGATTACTGAGACTTTGCTTCTTCCAGGATGCTATTGGAGTTTATTTCCCAAGTTTGGTCTGCTGCCCATCTGCAAAGCCTCCACTAGCTGAACTGGTGCAAGAGGGCAAGAAGCAGCTGAGGTGAGCTGACAGGTACAGAAAAGCTCACCTCTGGCTATGCTGGCCAGCCCAGGCTCAGAATTCAAACTTACTTGTGTTACAGACCACAGAATAATTTCCCTAAATAAAATATTGTCTCCTTAATCAGTTATATATGTAGTAATACACAAATAATAGTTGAGATTCTGCTTATCGGTTGCAGAGCCACATGAATAGAAACACGCTACATGGTACTTACTGGTTTGCCATCCAAACCAAGAGGCCCCTGAAAAGTGAAGGAGAAGACACTACTGTTAAAAAAAAGAATAATTTTTTAAAAATCAGTTGACAAACATAGCAATAAAAGTCATGCTCTGAAAGAGGCTCTACTTACATACAGTACAATCTTTGGCTACGGTACTTATAACCTAATCCTTCATCCATGCAATCCAGCAGGAAGGTTTCATAGAAGCATAGTAAGAGGTGTCAAACAATTTGCAGAGTATAAAGGAGCGTGAGAGGAAGCAACAGGGTTAGTGACAGGGACAGGGTGACACTGCTCTGGCACTGCACTCAGGGCTCCCTGAGGTTTTTAAAGGCTCTGAAAGAGCAGCAGTAAAACATGCCTGATTTGGCTAAACTGAGCAGATCTCATCAACCTCGGATCTGCACCATTTGTTTTCACAAAAGGACTTGCTGAAACTCTGCTATTTTACCCAAGACGTGGGGATCAACCATCCCCCTCAGGCTACAGTGCTAAGTGTCACTGATGGGACAGGGTGTTTTCCTACAGAGGAAGGGTCCATCTGCCCACAGACTGATATCTATGTGCGTTGCTCATCTGCAGTCTTAAAAAGCTGGAAGCACACTCGTATCTGCAGGACCAAGCACTTGGTTACCCCAGTTCTTCCCCAGGCCTCCCCTCTCTAGGGTTGACTGCAGGAGTGCATAGTAAATCAACATGATAAATATGATTTCTTCTCCATTTCTGACAGGTAAGCCCTTAACTAACATGAAGCCAGGGAACATACTGGGCCATAGTAAACCTTGATTTTGAGAACAAGTGCACATGGGGAGAGGAAGCACAGATGCCTTAAGGTCCACAGACAAAGCCAGAGCTGCCCCTGCTCTCAGCTAGAGCTGGCACACAGGCACTTGAGAGGAAGAGCAGTTCTAAACTCGATGTTAGAGTAAATCCCAAAAGAACTGCACTTCCACCCACTCGCAACCTGCCACTTGAGACCATCAAACCTTTCCTCATTTAAACCCAAAGAAAGCTCAGCCCTGCAAACCATTCCTGCAGAGACACAGCACAATGGTTATGAGTCAGCAAAGCCCTTGGACACCACCTTCTACCCTCAGATGTCCAAAAGACACTAACAGGCTTCACTGGGCAAAGGTCCTCTCCAGACAGAGCCACAGACCTCCTGGCTCCATCTGCAGACATGCTGGACTGAAACATCTCCTCACACTACAGCCCTGTTCACTGGGACAACCCACCAAAGCAAATGTAGTTTGAACTGTGTTTTTTTCCTAAACATATGATTGTTTGAGATGGGTTCCCTGAAGCCCCCAATGCAGCTCTCTGGTTTCCAGAGGACAAGACACAGGACTTGAACAGAGAAATCACAGCACATTCCACTCCTCCAAGGAGTAGAAGTCCCACATTTATTTTATTTCTTAATTTGCAATACCAATTAATTGTCTTTTAGCTATTCTTGTATCAGTTGACAAAGGAACATCCAGAAGGAAAACAATGGCCTATTCAAAGGATGTTTCTTTGAGGGAAAGCATTTAATGCTTGAGAGAAAAAATATTCACTGGGCTCCCAAAGAGGCTTTTGGCCAACCATGCCACTGAACGGGCAAGACTAACTCAGACTTCTCAACACTTGGTTAGTTTGGGCTGGAGATTTAACTGACTCTGCTCTACCTGCCCAGCCAAACATCTGTGTCAGCAAAGGCAGGGTTTGGAGAGCAGGCAGAGGCTTGCACGTGTTAAGGAGGAGGGAGCATCTGAAATCTGGGCTCGCTTACTTGATTGCCTGCACCTTTCCAGAACACCCAAGTGTGGAGATCATTAATATCCTTTATTTGAATTCTGCTCTATGTAATTTTAGTTAAAGACCAAGCAGTCTTTAGTTTATTTGACAACTGAGGAACAGGAACACAAGTAACACCCTATTCCCCCAGTCAAAAACCACCTTTGTACAAGTTTTCAATTTGTGGAGACAAAAATCACTCCCACTTAAATTAACAGCACAAAACATAAGAAAACTGAGCTTTCTGGACACCCCATTACAGGGCCCAGGTAAGAGAAAGCACCACAGTGGCTTCATGCTGTGCTTTGTGCCCAGGAATAAGTTTCACTCATGCCTTTGCCCTCTCTCAATTACAAGCCTTTTGCTCCCAATCACACCCAGCTCTTTACATCATTAAATGCTCATTGCATCAAGAGGGGATGAACTGTCTGCCTAGGACAAACCCTTAAGACAAGGCAGAGAGAAAATTAAATCAACTTTCCCTTAAACTTGGTTCTGACCAAGACTTCACTGCACTGGCCAAGCAGAACAAAACCCATGGATTCCAGGTGCTTTAAGGCAGATGACACTGATGTGATTCCAGCCAACACCAGTGGATGTCAGAGTCCTCTCCCAGCTGTAATCAGCTCAGATCTCATTTTCTGACCACACACTGGTAAGGACCGTCACCATTTGATGCTGGGCCAGCACAGCTCTGCAGGGCATCCTCCACATTTGGAGAGAGAAACATTGCTGTCAGTTTGATAAAGCCAATACAACCACAACATCCAGCTGGAACCCTCAGGTTACCAGGTTGGGAGGAGCTGGCAACACAGAGCAGGGGTGAGTGGTAACTGCAATTACTCACCTTGCTTTAACCCCTCAACAAACAGTAATGTAGACACATGGTGTTCCTGCAGGTGTAATGACCCAAACCATGGTGTACCCCCTACTGCCATTGCCTGCTTGAAGACATTATTGATATAATGCTACATATTTTATGGTATCCATTAATAATATATTATATAATGATACATAATTATACAATGATGCTGAGAATGTAGACAGGGGCTAGATAACATGTTGGGTCCTGAGCAGAACTTGTTACTACATCATGTACTCTTGCTGCACACCTTGGTTTGGCCACACAACATGGTAGTTTCAGAAGAAGAGGCTATGTTCAGATAAGTTGTAAAACAAATTATTCTTTTTTTCAAAATTTGTTTTGTTTCACATCAGAAGTTCAGAAGTTTTGAGCTATAGCACCAAAATGTCACCTCTCATTGCAAAAGTGAGATTCACCTGATGCAGGAAACAGCTGAAGGACAGCAAACAGTTCTGAGGGAACTGCCAAAGAGGGAAGATGTAGAGCTTGCAAGCTCTGACTCATATACAAAATCTCTTCCAATAAATACTAAGAATTTCCCCCTTAAATTCCTTACCCTTGCTCAGAACAAGCCTGGTTGCCAGCCTGGCTCACTGGCCCTCTGCCTTCCTCCTCCAGTGCTGTTACTGCTGCTGGCAGGGATGTACTTGCACTAAGCAGCATTACAGGAATTTTAAGGGGAGAGGGGAATATCTAGTGAAAACTAAGCCAGAGATTATTAAGAGGACAATCCTTCTGAGTTGGGAAATCTTCTCTTATGGTTATTTTTAATGTTTCCTGCTCTGCTAAAAATTAGCACAGGGGTCGGAAGGAACCCTGCAGTCAAATTTTGACAAATTCAAAGGGCTGCCTTCAATCTCTGTCTCTGTGGTTTTGAAAAAAATGGTAAAATCTTACATTTGAAAGGGAGGAAAGTGTCAGAACAAAAGAGCACCACAATATTTTAGTATCCCTGCAAAGGGCCCTGGGTCATTAGGCAGCAGGGTTTGCAGTACAGCCAGGGAGCAGGGCCCAGCCTTTTCTATAGGCTACACTGTAAATCTTCAGCAGCAGGACAGTGTCTGCTGGCAACACAGTTCCTCAGCACAATTTTGTATAAGAAAGCTCTGGCAAAAGCTGTGGCCATGCATGCCCTGCCAGAGCCATCACAAGGGAAGTGGAGAAAGGCAGCCAGGTTGCTGTGGCTCCTCTGAGCTTCCCAGCTGAAGGAAAAGAGAAGAGGGACTGAGAAATGAAATGTGAGATCTAAATAGCAGCTGAGAACCACTGGCACTAATGCAAGTGAATAGAATACAAGAAGTGCTCTGGGATGGCACCTTGTCCTTCTCTCCAGTTACACTCCTTCCTCCCTCCCACAAGTCCTCACTGCTGTAAGACCAGGAGCCCTTATAAAAAAGCAAGCTTCTATTCCACTACCACTTCAGCTACAATAATGATCTGCCTTTCCAAACAACAGCATTTAAATATCTGTGAAGAGAGAGACTCCACGTGTGAAACTGGTCATATGAGGAATTATCCTGCACATACACCTACTGCAATGGCTGTGAGCCCAGACAAGTCCCCAGTGGAGGTTCCTCCTGCACTTCCCCTGACTTCTGGGGTCCTCAGTGCAAGACTCTGAAATCATGCCAGCCTGCAGCATGACACAGTGGTGGAAACATTCCTACATTTAAGCATTAAAATAATGATAGCTTCATTCAGCAGACTAGATGATCTTTTGAGGTCCCTTCCAACCCCTAAGAGTCTGTGATTCACATTTAACTATATATAGTGTGGATGGTCTCCCTGGAATGGGATGGGATTGCTGCACAGGGAAACATTTTTCAGCATTAATATAATTATTAACAATCCTTCACTATTAATTTTCTCTGTTTGGAAAAAGCTATTTCAGTGTTGTCCAACACAAACTCCCTTTTCACCCATGTCTACATGCAAACCTAAAAACTACTTTTTCATTACTAGGAAATAGTTGTTTCTTCTTTTTTTACAAAAATCAAATAGCTCTACAGTTCTCTTACAAGCACAAAACAGCAATGATGATGAGACATTATTTTAAAAACATTTTTATGTCTAATTGTTTTACTTTGAAAATAATTTACACTTGTCATGCCATGCACTAGTGTATTTGCTGTGAGAACAGATGATAGAAATAACTCAAAAAGACAGGAACTTAACTAGCTTGGCTGCCCCATAAAGGATACAGGTCTTTTAAATATATTTTGGTAAATCAATAAAACTTTTTCCTTATTTTCAAAACCACTAAGAGCAGAGCTCCAAAGCAAGTCCTAATAAATATCCTGTTGCCAGATTTAACAAGAAAACCATTTGTACGTGGCATTCATTGAGGTTTTACACGAGTTAAACTTCAAATACATCCAACTTCTGTTGATTCAGCCAACACCTTTTTGCAACCACCAGTCCTTCCAGCAGGGTAGGTCCCCTTGGCCTGTGGTAGGTAGCTGGGGGGCTGCTCTAACTTCCCGGGGGCTGCTGCCACGCCCAGATCAGCCTTGATGGCATCTGCATCCCAAACAAGGCTGGCACTGAGGCCATAGCTTTCTGTACCCATCTTTCAGCTGATTTATAGTCTTCTCCAACAAGACAGCAAGATGTCACAGAAGTAAAAGATAAGCCAAACATGAGTATTTAGCCATTAAGTTGTATTACTGACTGAAAAAAAACCCCAACAAATGTCAGGCTTCACTAGTTTATTTATCACGAGAGTAGCAGGTAAGGGAGCTCTCCAGACTCTCCTTGCTTGCCTAGAAAACTATTTCCTTTCAGGGCAGAGGGCAATTAGAAGTTGCCCAAAATCCTTTTTCTCTCCCTGAAAACCACAGCCCTGCACGTAACACCAAACTCCAGTCTTGGGGGGATCCCAAAGGGGCTGTGGGGTGAGCTGAGCAACCCTTGCCCACTGAGCCCCACCTGACTGTGGCAGCTCTCACACCTCTCCCAGATTTCTTTCCAGGTGGCCACCTGAGCACATGAGCTGTTGCCCACAGCATTTGGTGGGGCTCAGCATCACAAAACCCCCAAAGGCTCCTCTGAAACACTTATTTGGGAGGAACTAAGTACCATAACCCAAGCTGACAGCATCAAATCCCCCAACAGAGGAACCAGGCAAATGATGCAGAGCAGCAGCTTGGTAAGAGCCAAGCATGTGTTAACAAAGCAATCAAAAAACACAAATCTGGGCTCTGTTCAAAAACTCTGACTGCTGGGAAGCCTCTGCCCATTCTTTGATGGAAACAGAGCAGAAAGGAGCAATAATTTGCTAAAAACTTCACCCATAATGCAAACCAGACTGTAGGGCTCTGCAAGAGAGCAGCCACCTCAGAGGCTGGGTCAGTCCATGCTGGGCACCTGGTGGCCACGAGGCCATCTTGCCTCTGCAGCAAGAGGCCAGCACAGGGCAGGAATAGTTCCAAGGGTTTCTGAAGTCCTTGGGAAAGAAAAAAACTCAACACAAAAGCCCCTGACCCCTTTCTGAGAATATTGCTAGGGCAGCACCAGGCCCTGCCCATTGTTCTGCATCACCACTGTGGGCTCACCAAAATGCTTTGGTTCCCAGCTGTCTTCTTAGTCAGGCCAGCTACATTCATCAGGACTTTGTTGTGGAGATATGGGACCATTGCTCCTTTTCCTTAAACTCAAGATGCACCTCTTCCTATTTGTTTGCAGAGCTCTCTCCTTGCTTTGCTGAACATCTTCTCAAAGTTGCTCAAGAGAAACACCTGGAAGCAAGTCTAAGAGCCTGGGAAAGAGAAAGCTCCAGGGATACCTCAGTGACCTTCTAGAATCTGAAGAGGGCCTACAAGAAAGCTGGGAAGGGACATTTTAAAAGGGCATGTAGCAAGAGGACAAGGGATAATGGCTTAAAACTGGAAGAGAGGAGATTTAGGTTAGACATAGGGAGGAAATTCTTCAATGTAAGGGTGGTGAGACACTGGAATAGGTCACCCAGAGAAGCTGTGGAGGCCCCACCACTGGAAGTGTTCAAGGTCAGATGGGGCTTTGAGCAACCTGGTATAGTGGGAGGTGTCTTTGCTCACACAGGGGGGGTTGGATCTAGATGATCTTGAAGCTCCCTTCCAACACAGACAAGTATGGGATTCTATGATTGGTCCAAAGGGGGGGAAAGCAAATTCTGGGCTGGAGCTGCTTGGGATGGCGAGCAAGGTTACTTGGATAAGACACAAAGAAATGCCAAACAGGGCCAGTTTGTTTGCTCCTCCCAATGCAAAGGGAAGAGAAGGAGTTGCTGCAGCCAACTGCCTCAATTCCTTGGCCAGCAACATTCTGCAAGCAACACCCTGGCACGTCAGATCAGCTCATCTGCTGCTCAGCATCATTTCAGAAGCAAGAGCTCACTCATCTGTGCATCACATTGCACCAGTTTTCTTCCAAAACAACAAAGTGAATGGAAGAAAGAGTCCCCCAACTTACCCCAAATTTCTGAGGCTTAAATGAGTTCCACATGTTCTGTGCAACTGCTTGTTTCAAGCACTTGGTACCCAATTGGGTTTTGGATATTTTTTGTTTAATGTCCAACTATGAGAGAGATGGCCTCTGTGGTGGGAATGCGAAAGTCAGTAAGCAATTGTTTTGGAGGAATATTGACATTTCAAGCAAACACTTCAGCCTCTCACTGCCTTTATATTCTTCCCCCACCAGTGCCATTCCTAGTTGACAGCTGCTGTTTGGATTACCTCTCTTTGGTGGTTAATGAGCAAACTTCTTGGTTTTCCTTAGTCTTCCTCTGCCTACAGGCCAAGCCCCAGTACCACAGAGCTGTGCCTGAATGCACTGGAAACAAGATGCAGCTCCATCAGTTGCACTTGCACCCAAAGCAAGGAAGCTGAGGAAAAGCACAAGAAGCCAAAAAACAAATTCCTGCTTCAGACAGACATTGGGTGGTGAAGGACCTTATCTACCATCGAGCCTCATTGCTAAGCTTCCCTCTCCATATGCCAGCTCAGAATAAGGTGACCACCTAGGTCTAAGTCATCACTTGAGAAGCTGTGCTTGTCCTGTACCAGAAATCTGTCTTCTGTGCAGGAAAGTTCTCCTTGCCATTGTCATTGGCACCTTCAACAGGCCCTCTCCCCTCCCTGGCCAGAAACACTGGAAGCACAGAAGATAAACAAATGCCTTTGCAATTTCCCTACTGGGTGGGACAAAAGACAACTTTTTATTTTCCCTGGGGAAGAATTACCTCTAAATCAAAAGAAAAATAAACTGCTGCCTGGAAGAGCTGGTCTTTACAAAATCATTGTTGTCTCCACATCAGAGACCAAGTAAACAGACATAGCAGGAAAACACACTGGATCTGCTTTCCCTGCTTAAAGAGGTTTTCCCTTCTAGGCAAATAACTACGTGAATTGGCCACAAAACTGATAGTAAAATAAAATTAAAAAGCCTAGAACTACAAAATTTGGATTGTAAAATTAAGATCTGTTACTTCTGTCTTTTGGGCTCTTACTGGGAGCAGTATGTGAGGAAATTACTTCGTTCACAGGAGATGCTCCTTGAAGTCTGAATATTTATGGGTAAAGCTACTCATGAGAGCAAACACTGGACTGAACCCTAAATTATAGTTATGACCTTAACTTATGATCTTATAGTTATAACCTTTAGTTAGAAAACTAAACAGCCAGCTTTACCAACTGAAGCCTTAATTTTGGGGATGGATACTGATCACATGACAGTGTTCAAAAATATCTAAGTCTAATGATGCCAGATGTTAAATATGAATTTTTTTAATCCTGTGCATGCACAACCAACCAAACCACCCATGCAATGTGCAGACACTCCGTGTCTGTTCATGAGCTACCACCCGGGGTTTGGAAAGCATCCACCTACTGCAAAAAAACAGGCAAAGTCTGAGATCCACACAGTCTTCCCTACAGCCCACGAGATCTGACCACGTAGCGTGGTCTCCCGTGTCTCACATGGGATTTCTGGCAGCCCTCCTGAAGAGTTAAACCACCGCCTGTTGCTCTGGTTTGGCACAGAGCAACCTCCAGCTACGCACGTCTCCCTCTGCGACTCCCCCAGGCTGCACCCTGAGCGTGCCCAAGCAGGACTTGGAGATAACTGCATCGACGGAGGGAACTCATCAAGTCATCAGGCAGCCCAATTCCAACTTACTTCTAGAGTTCTTCTGCAAAAGTGGTTTACTATTAACGTCACATCTGGTTTTCTGGTGTTGCTGTTTTCAAAATGCCTGGCTAAATGCATGCCTTGGAGCTTTCTGGTAAACTCTGAGGAACCACAACAGGATGGAGGAATTGCCACCAGGAATGGGCTTAGGCAGATGTTCCTCAATTGCCGCACATCAGCCTGTCTGCATTCATACTACATTCACACACAAGCAGCTTGCACAAACTTTCCCTTGCTAAGTCATCCACACTAATTGAAATTCTTAATTGCTGAGGGAAGAAAACCTCTGCTGGCTATAGCCAAGGTCTAGAGCTGCCACCAAAGCCCGTCATGCTGCTCCACTACCCCGGAGTCTTTCAAGTCAAGAAACCAACTTCTCTTTTGCAGTGCTCATCCAACCTCTCTCCCAGACATCAACTCAGAAAATCACATTTAGCTTCATTTCATGTCTTGAAAATTAATTTAAAACAGAGATTATAATCCTTACAAGCTGATTTCTAGCTGTAAGCATTGCAAGTGACTTCAGCGGACAACTTTGGATCTACAACTCTGTGGCCAAAGGAAGATATTAGCTACCTGTGCTGGGCTCCCAAAATAAAGTTTGTGAAGACACTGAGTTGCTTGGCTCCAAACAGCTCTGTAGCTTGAAGCGGACTGTAAATAGAGGAGAATGGCCTGTGCAAGAGTATTCCAATTTTGACTGAGCAATTATTCCCCAAAAGGTGTGCCAGCATTGAGCAATGCCTGGGTTGTGCCCCTCCTTTACTGCAAGTCCATTAATTGATTATTTATTCATGTAGCTCCCCATCATTAGAAAAGGATGTTATTGCTCAATATTGAATTATGTTGAGTAAGAAGCTGCCCTACTTTTAAGTAGGTAGAACTTGAGGCCCTTTTCTCCCTGCCTTCCCAAAGAGTTTCCACCATTAAGAGGGATGGGCAAGACAATATCTGGGCTCTTTCAGGCAACACACAAGTAATTTACAAAATTCAGAAGGCAAGTATGCACCAGAGGAATGAAAAGAATAACACTCTGCCCAAGTAAAAATAGATGCTGATAATGTAAGGAAAATGTATAAAATAGGAGATAACTCTTTCATATACTTTTTTTTTTCTGCTAAGCCTCTTCCTTGCTCTGCTTTTTATTAATGAAAACATGCACATGCAGTAATTCCTCCCATTAATCAACTTCATTCTTTTGGTTTCTCCTTACTTGACTAGACAACCCTTCATTTGGGATGTCACATAGCAGAGACCAATTTTAGGGAGGTTATGGTAGCAGAGGCAGATGAAACTCTTGAGAAACAGAGACTTTGGCTTCAAAAAGCCTCTCCAATAGATAGGAAGAAGGAAAGGAATGAGTTCTGGCATCTCACTGGGAAAGAGGAGGACAGCTGAGTAGTTTGAAGACCAGTATAAGACCATCCCCACATAGGGCAGTGGAACAGATGGGGACACAGCTGCCAACATCACCACCCAACCATTGCTTCTCTCCTCCATACATAATTTGCCTCCATTAAACAGCTACACAACAGGAAGATCCTCCTGCAGGGAAAGGTCAGCTGCAAAGCTCTTCCATCTGCTCCTCATTTTCTCTCTTCTCCCTCCTGCCCATATGCAGCTGCCCGCCCTGCTAACGTCAGCAGCCCGAGGCCCGGCTGCATCAGCCCTCTGCAAAGCACAGCCCCCTACCCCCTCTCCCAGCTCCACGAGGACAAATGCCCCCAGCACGCTGACGCACTGACAGCACATGAAGTGGAGGAAACTACTCGGCAGTGCCTGATGCTCCTTGCCACAGAGAGCACGGCTTGGGATGAGTCCCAAGGGATCCCAGCGCCTGGTCCTCCCCAACAAGAACCACATTGCCAGTGGCGCGGCAGCCACACATCTGCTTCTCCTCTGCTCCAGCACGTCCTCGTGCAAAGCCCAGCTCAGGCTTGGGGGCTGAGCTTCAGCTTGGGGATGGGCCAGGTAGTCATTTGGCAAAGGCTAAAGGTGTCATCCAAGATCGTCCATCTGATCTAAAAGCTGCTGTTGTTTCTTCAGAAAAGGCGGTGATGGGAAGCACCAGAGCAAAATAATGCAGCGGGGGTCAGTGGCCCCCTGCAGCAGCACCTCTCACAGCACCAGGCAGACCTCAGCATATATCTGGACCTGTGCAAAGCCCAGAGTGAGGACAACCAGGGCTGCAACATTGTCCCCACAGCCACTGGGCAAGTCCCTGAGCAGGGGGCTGCAAAGAGCAACACCACCAGGCAGGGCTAACCAAAGGGAGGTCAGGTTGCTCAGGTCCTTGCTTAAAAAACTGTCATTTTCTCTCCTGAACTGCTCATTTTGCAGCATTTTATCACTGTTTTTTTCCTTAGAGTCCACCTCATCTCTAATGAATCAATGAAGCCCTATAATCACTCTGTAATTCCCAATTATTCTGGGATTTCTCTACAAAGGCAGCTCTCATCCTGTAGTTTTC